CGTCTCTCACCTCTATCTTACCTTGGTACAGGTACACAATAAGTATATGAGTCATTGAACTGTTCCTTCGTAAGTGGGACGATAGACTTAAATTCTTCATCAGAAAAACTTTTCTCGTTTACGTAATCTACTTTACTATTAGCGGTAGTTCTCAGTTTCTAGAATGATTGAAGTTTCTGGCCCTACAAAACGTACGATCTATTACTACTACTACTACTTTCACAACCACCCTGTATAATTCAGGTATTTGCATAAAATATTGTCATCACGAATTATCAACTTCCTCACCAAGTTTCACGGGAATCTATACATTCGATGGATGGGAATATAAGGACGGGTGCATTTTCATGGAAACTTGAACATCATGTGTATAATAATTTTGTAGATCGATTCAAGAAATACAATTATCATGAATCGATGTCGATATTAGTATACTACGAAATGTACAAAAAAAAATCGATCTCAACCGCTCACTTTTCCGGAAATAATTGGAACATTTGCTATATTTGAACCAACTCATCGTGAGTATACTTGCGAATATCATTGAACTCTAATGGATTTTCACCGGCCACTCGCACGAAGAAAACTTACTCGATTTATTTTTGATATTCGAGAAAGGAAACTTCACAATAGCCATTCGAAATTTTGGAAAAGTCAACTTCGGCACCCTATATAAACCAAACTATTGAATGTAGAGCGTTGATAATTGGGACATCTGATCAGCATCACGAGTACCTACTACGATATATCCAAAATTCGAGAAAATTCACCGAAAGCCAATTCCTCCCCTTCTGCGGTGCGTGTTCCTTTATGTATTTTTCAACTTGGAATCAGAATCCAATATCAACCCCAAAAATGTTTGGCTTCGCTGCCGTTTTGAAGAACTTCATTCTTCATTTCAATACGCAGATGGAGTGTACCATTGAATATTTTTCATTTTGAGTTTGAACTGGCAGCCTAATTCCTGGGATCTTTCCTCCTGATAACGGTTTTCAGGAAATTATATCACAAATATTTGGCATCTCTCAGTTCTTGATGTATAACCAGATGATAGTCCTGTTTCACAAAAACATGATACTTTACACATTTTTAGCTGTTTCTCTTTGACCTCATAAATCACTTAGTAGCTCACAAGTAGGCAAGATAATATACCATACCTATATTAAGATGATATAATTCAGGTTACTGAAATCATCGATATCATCTGTTGTTTTTGACTCAACTAATTTAGTCCGACCCTGGTTCCAAATACTTGCTGATGAATTCGAAACGCCGGAAAAAATATCGAAAGGGTTGCGTCTTATTTTTTATGTTTCATTAGAGTATTTGGCCTACTGTGTATGTGACAGTATGTGTAGACTGTGGATACCTAACAACAGTACACGGCATATTCACAGAGTTATTGTACTGGTAACGTTATGACGCCTTGCAGGGTTTGACCCCAGCCACCGCCGTGGTAGTCATATACACAGTCCACCGAGCTATGGAGTTATACTCGACAGTTTTAAATATGAAGAAAAAAGAAAGATCTTTTGTTGCTTGCCGAAATAGCGACGGATCAGTCCGCATTCCATCCAAAAATTTATCATAAAAAGCGTCTCTGGTACGTCCTCCAGCGATTTTCAACTAAATACGGGATTACACACATTCAAGTTTTGGAAACACCTCTCGGTTTCAGCACTGGCGCGGAGACCTATTGTTGCGTACGCTTTTAGAAATACGCGTATTGGTCCCTACCTGTAGAATTTGCTGTTTTGGCAAATTATGTCGTGTGGTTCGGAAGTTTGTCGAAATCTTGTCGTTTGTGATGTTTTTCACATCTGAATAAGAATCCTTCAATCATCATTAAGTCACATGTATAGTAGGCATCACAAAGCAAATTTCAACACCTACCTCCTCTCCCTATCCTTCCTAGGTATGCACGATTTTCTTCGAAAATTGAAGGAATTTTCTCTCACGCGCCTCAAGAGATTGAAAAATATGTACAGGGTGTATCTAAATGACACCAAAAATGTTTAAGGGGCGATTCCTCATGATATTCCAACAAATAAAGTTCATATAAACATGTGTCCCAACTTGCTCCGTTTTTGAAATACAGGATGTTGAAGTTGGACGTATAAACTCCTGTATAAGCTTTTATGGTGCCAAAATTCAGTATACAGGCTGATTTTAAAATGAGTGCATATATTCAAGACATATATATGAGAGAGTCTAACAAAAATTACTGAAATATTTGATTTTTCCTAAGTCTTCACATTAACGAGAAATTTCATTTTGAAAATTGAACATAAAATGCTTCGAAATTCGAGTACGCCACTGGGAAGCAAGTGAAATCTGCGGAATCCTAGGGAATCCACAATTCGTCATTCACTAAAGTCAAAACAAGACAGTGATGCCAGATTGTTTCAGAGACGAATATCCTGATAAAAATTTGTCACAGAATGAACATGAATTGAAATAGGTTATGGAAACTAATAGAGGTGAATGTGATATGTACAGGAGCCTTATTTTTTAAAGTTTACTGAGAGAACTGTGGGGTGATTATCTCCATGGATCACGAGAGACGGAGAGAAACATGAGGGGAATGATAGAACGTCCCCCTTCCTTCAATTCGAAAATAAGGCCCCAGCGGGTAGATACAAAATCAGCAAACAATAAATAGGTACACAACATACACAAAGTTGAAAATCGACTCACCTAGTAGATTTTTTCATACCTGCTCGAACAGCAAAACTCCCGAGAGCAAACAAATACTAATATCGAGTCCATTCCATCCAATTATTTTATTTTTTATTTTACGTTTACAATTATTTTACAAACCAGCCGACACAAACAAAACTATTTATCATATGATCTGTCAACATCATTTCTCAAAACAGCAGTATCTGACTATCTGTGACCATAGATTTCCTCTTTGCTGTGACCTTTGACAGTACTAACTAGGATTGTTCGCGTTCTATTACTATTTCACGAAGATTGTTACGATATTACGATTTGTCATGAATCTATTACTATTTGCTATTAGCACCAAAATATGTTCCAATACTAAAAAATCTATTTCTGTGCTCAGCGGATAATTATGTTCCGTTCTATGTTCTATATTTATGTCAAAACTGTGATTAGTGCGATAGGGTTTGACAAGAATGACATTCCGAATGTCAAATGTCAGATTTTTCGAGTCTATTACCTTTTGATACAAATCTGATAACTTTTTCCAAGGAAATCTATTACGAAAAAATCAGACCCAGGAACAACACTGACGAGTAAATGTAAAGTTTTGTTTCTGACAATTTGCTTGGAAAGTGACGATGCATTTCTCAAACATTGAGCTGAATGATATGGTTCTTATGTCGGGTCGTTATTGTGCGGGGCCCATGAGACTCCTCGAATGACACGAAATTGTAGCGATGCAAGGAGGTGGAAGGAAGGGTCTAAAGGATTTTTCAGTAAAAGAATTTTCAAGGGGAGGTGTTAAGATATACCTACGCTTTTCTAGCTTATGTGTACAAATCTTGAGTGAGTCCATTTCAAAGTTTTTGTATTATCTTTCTGAAATTCAAGACCAGGGTTAACTTCTTCCCCATGTACATTTTCTCGATTATACATTTTATTTAATATCTCCTAATTGTCATGTAGAGTGGCAACGTCGCTTCGTTCATCACGGTCGACTGCGGATCGCAAACGATAGTTGTGACAGAAGTAGAAATCTGGGCGGAAAAAGGGTATTTTGCCCCAAATCTATTTTGATCCTAATAATATTTTTAATAGTGCTATTCGGTAGTATACCTCAAGCTTTCTTAGTGTTTAAAATATATGCACTTATTTTAAAATCAGCCTGTATTTGAAGACAGAGAAAGCCCCAAAATTCGAAAATGATTCTAATTGGGCTTATTGAGTGATCTCAATGAAAGTCTTGAAAACACACCTATATTTTTTTATCGCTTGGAACGCACGAAAGGAAATCCCTATCATGTTCAGAGAACATCGTGCGTTCCTAGGGAGGATAGGGACAGGAGGTAGATATTGGAATTTTTTTGAACTTCTGGAGATTATATCTTGTTGGGGATACTTCCTGAGGCAATGAATTCCAGAGCCTAGCCGTTCTATGTATGAAGAGTTTTGATAAAGTGCTGTTCGACATCTTTCGAGATTGACAACGAAAGGATGTGCTGACTGGGCTTGTCTAGTTCGTCCGACTGGTTTTGCTAGTGAAGGGTCAAATCAAATCGAATTTTTACTGTTTCCCCAAAAATTAAGTTAGATACAAAAATCACACAGGAAATAAAAAAGCTGTTATTTCAATAGTTCAATCTGATAAGAATATAAAACTCCAAAAAACCGGTGGCATACAATAATGACATTCACCATGAATATCAGTAAATTTACCCACTGTGACGCCACTGGAAATATTATTATTATCATTATTATTATTATTATTATTATTATCTATAATTGTACCAGAAGAAGCTCCATATTGATATTAACGAAACCATAAGGTTTTATTGAGATTAATGGAAAGACAATCGTGTGAAGAATAAAAAAACGATTTTTGATGGAAATACTATCTCGAAAAAGAAGCAAGTTAAGACACATGTTTATATGGACTTTATTCCATAAAATATCACAAGGAATCACCTCTTGAATTTTTTTGATATTATTTAAATACACCCTGTATACTACTACTACTCTGAGTCGAGTACGTCTGTCACCTTATCTCTTGGTCTATTATAATAATATAATATTGGTTCACTGAAGATTATATAACGTGATATGGATATGTTTCAATCATCGAATATAGAGTGCTGTTTCACAAGTAGAAACATTCCGAAATAGTCAGGATTATTTAATCAATTCCAACTAATATTGTCCTGATATTCTCTCTCACGTATTATACGATTGGGGTTAATCTACATGACTCAATCGGAATCAGAATTGAATATATAAAAAATTTATTGGAATATGATGTGACTCATCATAGTTTATAGTGCAGTTGAAACAAATCACAATTCTTGCTTCAAATCAAAAGTAGTGTACATCTTGTGCTCAGGTCTACTCTTGATGTATTCCCTCAAATTTGGTACTGCCAAAATGTTGTTTTTGGTTTTGATGAGATTGGGATAGTCGGCCAGCATATCTTTCTTCAGAATATTCCTCATTGATTCGTACACACAGATGAAGGAAATATCGGCCCACGATATCTGAAACAAAAATAGTTGCTTATGGAAAAGAGTTATTGTGTGTATTCTGTATTGCTGTATTTCGATGCTGAATTTGAATCTGAAACTTTGGAGCAGGACAAAGGTCAATATGTGGAATCTATTCGAAATAAAGTCATTGTGGCGTAGCATATTTGGTTATACCGGAAATGAATATGGACTTTTATATATCGAAGACTGGAACCTTTGGCACGATAATACACTACACTGTTTTACCACTAACCAAACCGATTTTTTGACAAGTGTTTCGCTAATTATGTTAGCATCTTCAGGAAAAGATTGCAACTAAATATTCTTTTCTAGTGTGCTGCTTATATACTAGGTATATGTTCACCCAACTGTGAAAAATACTAACCGTCAAGTTTATGTTTGTCATGGTTGAGTTCACATGTTAATCTTAATTTTTATTTCACTAAACTAAGAATAGTAATAGAGTAATGAATAAGGATAATGGACCTATTCCATATAGCCCTCTATATAGTTTAGTGAAAAAAAAATTAAGATTAACATGTGAACTCAACCATGACAAACATTAACTTGACGGTTAGTATTTTTCACAGTTGGGTGAACATATACCTAGTATATAAGCAGCACACTAGAATAGGATATTTAGTTTTAATCTTCTCCTGAAGATGCTAACATAGTTAGCGAAACACGTGTCAAGAAATCGATTTGGTTAGTGGTAAAACAGTGTAGTGTATGGACTTTTATATTTATACTGGAACACCTTATTTTTCCTTGAATTTTTGAATGATACATAATGGGCGAGTGGACTGATAATGAATTATTGGCATTCAGTTACTCAGCTGTGTCATTGGGGACCTATATTGATTATTGCGACACTTCTCACACTTTTTCCATGTCAATAATGATTGAATGCGTTGTACGAAATTGTTGAATTTTGGAGCTCATTTCAAATGTACCGTCATGGCCACCATTTGACGATACGTCGAATAAATGGTGACGTCAGCTTTCATTCTGTTTTGATATTGGTCAGATAATCTTCAATTTCCACATGCGAAGATTGCCATGTCACCAATTATAATCAAGTTATCGCAAATATGTAAGAGTCCTGTCGTTGAATGAAACATAATAGGAGGAACCCATGATATTATAGTTCATTCTTGAATTTTTCGAGCAACCAGCATGTCCAAATATTTCTATACTTAATAACAAAATAGCTTGTAAATGTTGGAGACTTGGCAAAATTGTGCTGAATACTGAGAACGGACAAGACCACGCCCACAAGTTGTGCGGGCCGTGTTGTCACGTTCACCGCTCCAAATGTCCTCTAGTCTGAATTAATATAATGACTATTTACCTCGCTATTTACACAAACGTATCATGAGAAATATGCCACGAATCATAAGAGAACATTTTGAGACGATTGATTTTGTATTGCTCAGTAGGAATATCACTCACTACGCGCGGATTTATGTCCATATGGTTGTCAGCGTTTATTCATCACTAATATCAAGTATGGATATTTTTCTCTCAATATATTATTATTATAACTCTAGTACAGAATTGAGAATTCATGAATATTTGAATAACTAATATTTCTGGAGTTCCGAAACGTATTTCAACACATGGCAACTGTGCATTGATCTGCTCCTACTTACGAAATCGTGACGTCAGTTTTTACTCGCGGTAAACTTCTATATCCATCTGAGAATTACCGTGGCATTTTCGATAATTCTAGCACCTGAAAATCGACCGAAAAATGCTGACAAAACATGAAACTGAAAGGTATTTGAATGATGATTCTATTCAAGTAATAAAACAGAACTAGTCCACTCGCCTATTATTATTTCGAGATTTTTCATATAATATCATGCGTTCATAAACTGGTACCGAACCGTTTTCGAGTTATAACGATTATTGTGAGAATTTTCGGGATAACACTAGGATATACTAGTACATACTTAAGAAATATTTCTATTTTTATAGTAACTAATTCATATCGTTGCCATACAAACAGAGCGTGTGGTTGAATTTTGACGGTCGTTCAGACTATTCAAAAATTTATCGCATCGAATACAATTCGAACTTTGAAGTGATCAAGGTTATGAATCGCAAACTTCCTGCACCTCAAAAGCGAATCATGTCAGTTCAAGAAGATAATCCTACGGCTTTGCGAATGGATTATTTCGACTGTTAATCTGACATACTCTTCGTTATTATGCAAAAAGTTAGTATAGTATATATTTTGGAGTTCTCATAGTATAACTACTGAATATGTATCTCTAACATTTTTGAAACTGGAATGTTTAAAATCTCACCGAAAATATTAGGTATACATGATGACTTACGAAGTAACACTGAAAACTTTGTCAGAAGTTATGCTGTGTGATCAGAACTTTATTGTAATTTGAGGATTTAAAAAAATTCTGAAAGTCGTTTTTTTTCAAAAGAAAGGCCTTGTATATATTATTCATCAACTTGATGCCCTGAAGTTCTGCTTTTATTATCGATATAGGATTTTCTACATCCAACATTGAGGGATCACAAGTTTTGAAGACTTATTCATGCATGATAATATTATGAGGATATCAATTTCATAACTGATAACAATGTGTCAACATTGTAGGCCAGGCTGATGGAAATTTGTAGATGAAATAAAAATTATCTGTCAGAAATATAATATGCAAATCCAATACGCAGAACGAATGAGCACTGATTATTCTAATCCATAATGATATTTTGAATTCACTTCACATTCATTGGGAGTGTTATAAGATTATTGAGAGAACTTGCGTCGTCTTTTCAATGAGAGACTCTCGAACTTTATGAATAGTCTCCAAACGTTCAAAACACTATTCCAATACACATATATACCTCTTTTTCCTATCTTTCCTAGGTACTCACAATGTTCCTCGAGCATCATAGAGATTTTCTTTCGTGCGTTCTAATCGATAAAACAATAAACAAAACAGAAGGAATGAACAAAATAGAAGAAATGAACAGAACAAATTCGGGAGAAATGGAGCACAATTTCAAGAATTTGGAATCACAAGAAAATGTATTACCATAAACTATAGTAACCCAAGTTGAAGGAGTAGAAATGTATCATAGCATATTTTGATGCCCTTTCTAGGAGTTTCATTATATACAGCAGCTTCGAAGCATTTGGAGATATCTACATCAGTTCATAGGATTTGGAAATAGCTAAAATTTTTGTTGTTGTTGTTCTGAAATTGTTCTATCCACCATTCGGTTGCCCCTTTAAGAGCAACCCTCAGAGTCTTGTGCGAGCAAGGAATGACGGGGGCCTCACCTTTTAACGTGTGATCCTGAACACTTTCTTGGGCAATCAAGAAAATTTCTGCAGTCGCTAGGAATTGAACCCACGACCGGCAAGCGAATGCGGATTAAAAAACTTGTATTAAAGTATTTTATTTTTGTTCCAACTATTTTACATCGCACATATAATCATATTGGAACATATAACAGAACTTCTTCTGTGTGATGTGTTCCTCCGTGTGGTTCAGAGTTGGCTGATGTTGGTCAAGAAATGTGATCGATAGCTTTCAGTGGTGAGTGGGTTCTTCGAAGCAGTGAAGGAAAATCAAAATCATAGAAACAAAAACCTCCTTCTAGTTTGGCTCGGCCAGACTTGCCCATACTTTGCGCCCGATTCTGACCGAGTTCAATGTCAGAATGTCACTTTTTGAGTGGCCGCGACATTATTTCAGTTTCGTTTTTTGGGGAGTTGTGCAGTCTGGACCCCCCTCAGAGCCTCGTTGATGTTGTTGGGCTGTGGGGGGGCTCCCGACTATAGATTATCTGGCTCTCCAAAAACATCGGTTGACGCATATATCACTCCATGTTTTTTGCGGATGTTGTGATGCCTTCTTGTTGTGGTCATATTCCGGGTAAGGTCACTTTCAGCGATGTGGTATTTGAAGAATCTCTTAGAACTTTTCCGGATATTCTCGCTGACTCTAGGCAAATTACCACATCTCTCCTGGAGATCTGCCACTCGAGTGTACCTATCACCGTTGGTGATACTACGGAGTGCTTTGTTCTGCAGCACCTGTAACCTGTAGGTGGGACGCTGCAGTACACCGGACACGCATGAGTCATCATAATTTGCTTGTACACCAGGACCACATCCTCCAGGGATTAGAATACTGAATCAGGGGTTGATGCAGGAATGATTGCATGTTTCCAGTTCATTTCAGTGATGATACAAGAAAATCCCAACTCCTCATCAAACATTATTTATGGATATTTGAGTTAAAATTTTCCAGGGGCGAAATCATCAAAAGAAAAATTAACACGTCTGGGCCGAACAAAACTCGACATCTAGTGAGTCATTCTCTTTCCTGAAATAGATTCTGATTCCACGTATTTGCAATGATTATGAATAATCGAGTGAAATTTCAAATTTGTAACAAGAATTTGACTGCAGCTACTGAGAGGTATTGTATTAAGGATTTAGGATAACTTGCCCTTAGGTGTTTTCAGAAATTGTTGATACCAGGTTCACGAAATTCGTGCACATACTTCAAGATAATTATGTAGCGAATTGGATAATATGTTCGATCTCCAGATCTAACTCCTTCCTATAATGTGGGATGATTTCGAAATATTACCATTACGAAATTAATTGTTGATTTATTTCTATATATTCCCATATTGAATACATTTAAGACACATTGAATGAGTGTTTTCATTTCGCTGGCGGATATTCAGCCTGGCCAACTCTGTTAACACAATATCACAATTTCCCAATTGATATCCTCACAACCTTTTGATGATTTAGTGTCCATAACACGAGATTATTTGAAGATGATGATAGAAAACTTTTTTGCAGTTGAAACAGAATTTCATCGTGTATCAGGTTGATAAATAAGGTGAAGCTTATTCCATTTTGAATAATGACTTCCACGTTTTTTCAAAATCCTTGAATGACAAAAGAAATCTGATCACACTGTTTTACTTCTGAGAAAGCTTTGATGAAATTGCAAACGTTTCAGTTTCAAGCAGGTTGGAGATACCTATCCCGGAATAGACTTGAGCAACCAGAAAATTCCGAAAGAACTCTCAATGACGCAAAAACGGTTAGAAGTCAGAATACAGTGTGGAGACTTCAAGAGTGGAATGAATTAGTTAGCGGAGAGGTGAATATTTTTTCTATAAATTTTCGACATACCTCAACGATTCAATGTATTTACCTACGTTTTGCGAGCAATATCGAAAATATGTCCCTCCAAGAGTGGCTGAAAGCACCCCCAATATGATCTTCTCAAATGTAACCATATGGCTGGTAACTCTCCATTGGAAAGCTGGTGGAAGGAAGAATCCAGTATACTTGTCAAGTTTTATTTATTAATACGTTCAAAGGTTGCATAACATTGAAATGTCATTTTGAAATATGTTTTTTCAACGTATCAATCGTTGAAAATGTGTGTTGAACATATGATGGCAATTGTTTGCTACAACTGCTAACTGCTAATATATTCCAGTATTTTCATGAAGTCGCAAGAATAAATTCATGATGTATTAACAGCCATATATCACTGTCACTGAAAGAAGAAAATTTTATGGAAATACGTTGAGAATGTATTAAACTACGCGATAAACTTTCGATTCTATATGCACCTAAACGAATGAGGAGTTGCGAGCCTTAGGATTGCATTTGCAAAAAATAAGATTATATTTTCCATATTGTTCGCCAGATGTAGGTTAGTAAATTTTAACGTTGACATGTCTTGCGAATTTTCAGAAAAATCATTCACTCCCCCAGTATCGAATTTATTCGAGTTAAAGTCTCCACCCTGTATAAACATATTGAATAGGAAAATTCCGAATTTCATGAAGAATTCAGCAATGGAATGAAATATAGGGTGTTTCTTTCATGTCTTATTTAAAATAAGAAAGTTCATGTCCACTTTCGGTATAACCACAAGTGCTATGCCATTGACTATATTTCAAAATGATTGTACACATTGAAAACTGAAACATTGAGAACTTCTGATAACGGTTTTCGTGTAGGACTCTGGATAATTGACATTGTAGTTTTTTGTAATCTCAAAAAGTTCTTGAAAATTCTGTCAGCTCTCGAATAATGCAGCAGAAATAAGAGCCATAAATATATCCTGGTAATCCAAAACTCGAAGTCATTCACACAAAATGATGAAATATAGACTGCATAAGTAAATAAAGACACAAACAACTACATCTCTGGCTAATATCACGCAGAACATTGGATGTTATCTGCCTAAATCATTCGTTATGATTTTCACAAGTTTCCACAAATACTGTTTACGCCAGCATATGTTTTCTAGCCAGGTTACGCTTGAGACTGTTTTCGTACTATTTTTTCACATGAATTAATTCCGCAAGGACCTAGATTTCCAATTCCTAGATCGGAAATAATCTTGTGTTCCTTATTCAGCATATTTATTGCAGTTTTTACTTTGCTCCAAACGCAACTGAAATCAGCTTTGATAATAAAAAGTACTATTGGAATTCCCGAATTAAATATCGAAGAGAATCAAATTTCGTCAAGATTCCAGGGGTTATGGATACTTCGAACATCTTCAGTACTAATACATCGATGTTATTGATTGCTAAATGATGCGTGTTTTGTCCTGAACACTCATAACAACTGAATTCATATCGACGAAAGATATTATTCCCCATTATACACATGTGCTATTATCGGACCAGACTAATTTACCATCCATCAGGACCCAAATGTGATGCAGAGATCAATCTGAGGGAGTGAAGCAATCATCGAGCGAATTGCAGGTATTGGGAATGATATGAACTTTGATCCAGATTCATTTAATTTCCTACCGTTTTTTCAGGAGATATATCAATCATCAGACTGACAATGAACTGATATTGAGAGAGATTATTCCAATAATGAGCTCACTCACTGTTACTATTGCTCTCGCACAAGCTTGTGAATCCGAATGAGTGTTATCAATAAATATAATTATCGCGAGAGCACAAGTCTCCTCTGGAGTTTATATCCAGTAATATTTTCTCATAAAACGAAAAGGAATCTTTAATTGGATGAATATGTGAATTTCTCTGATGGTACATGTGGAGCATCAGGAAAAAATTACATATCCTTCAGAGAATTGAAGCTAATGACATATATAAATCAATCAGCTGGCATTAGTATTTCTTTTGAGATACATCATTACCATACATTCACCTCCAGCGATAGAAAATATTCAATGTATTACAGATTAGTCTATTCAACCTGAAGAATAAAAAAAAAATTATGAACCACAACAACTACTCGAGCTTTCGTTTTACCATGGTGATACCAAATCTTGGAAGAAAATTCGTCGAATTTTACTGAATTATAGCAATGAAACACAACATAAGAATTGACCCACGTTACTATAAGAGGTTTGTCTAGTTGAATTCAACTATAAGTAATAAATATTTTTATTCTAAATTCATTCACTTACTCTTTTGATAGCAATGAAACCTCCATTTTCACCAGCTTTCTCATCGAATTTCTTCAGGAAGAATGGTACAGTCTCATTCGCTAATACTGGCTCCAATGTTTTCTTTTTTTCTTCATCTTTTTCGAATGCAAAATCATATAATTCTGTGGAGAAAAAGATAATAAGAGGAATGGAAAGTTGCATTTACAGGTATGAAATGATTTCAATGAGTTGTTCGGTCCTTTGACTGCGCAGTATCAGGTGCGCATCAAATTAAATTCAAAACAAATCTGAGGTAGTTTTTGAAACATATCAACAAAAGCGCTCTTTTCATTTCCTTATCTCATCTCTTGAATATATGCTGTTAACATTAAATATTCCTAAAATTGAGGACCTGAACATGAACTCCCTTCACTAACAAATTTCTCATACACCTATACATATATCCCTGAATTCTTTGGGAGCTTCCTGCGATGCCCAATTCCCACGATGCCCAATTCCTACTATGCCCACCTCCATGTCGACGATTACGAAGATTGCCGAAGAGCGCAACGTTGCCAGGTCGAGAGAAAAATTCAGAAAACATAAGATTTTCATCATACCCACTTCTCATAGATTCCATCGATGCCCAATTCCTACGATGCCCAATTTCCACCATGCTCACCTTTCTTGGATTTTCTCCATGCTCTCATTCTCTAAACTCTCACGATGGACAACTCCTACGAAGGCCAATTCTTACTATCTCCACCTTCCTTGGATTTCCACCATGCTCATCTCCCTTGGATTTCCATCATGTACACTTTTCATACATTCTCACGATGCCCAATTCCAACGTTGCCTAATTCCCACCATGCTCACCTTCATGGTGGAAATTGGGCATCGTGGGAATTGGGCATCGTGGAAATATGTGAAGAGTGGGCATTGTGGGAATCCAAGGAAGGTAAGCATTATAGGAACTAAGCATAATAGGAATTGGGCATCGTGGGAATCTACAGAAAGTGGGCGTGTTGGGAATCTTCTGTTCTCTGAATATTTCTCATAACCTGGCAACTTTGCGTACTTCGGCAATTGATTGATCTTGAGAATTTTCAGTAGATAAAATGTTCATGAATGTTTTGTTAATATCTGAACTTAAAGAGGATCATGAGCTGGATGGGATTTTTGAATAATTTAGTTCTTCAACTACTTTAGAAATGTGTAGCTAAGCTAAAATGTCATGGACAGTTCAAGCCCAGAGGCTTCGGATTGATTCAAAACTATCCCAAACCAGTTCGCATAACACGAAAACACTGCGAAACATGAAACAGTCCTGAGAAAACACGAACATTTCTCTGTGCGCATGCTTCTGATGGTTTCGGACTGTCAATTCGGTCAACGCAAAGATTCTTGACAGTTTGAAACATAATGGTACTCCAAATAAGCTGCAACATTATGTCTTGAGAAAGAAAATCCATGCGTGACCTATTATATAGGTAAATACTGCCTGTAGGTTAATCGAGGAGGTGGTACATTCATCATTCCAAATTTTTTGGGACTTTCTCTCTACGTTTCTATGAAATAAAAATATGAAACCAAGAGACATCTTTCAGTAAGGACGAAGGAACATAAGTACAATATAAAGAAAAGAAACATCGATAAATCGAAACTAGCTGAACATATCCTTACTGAAGACGGACAACATATGGCAGAGTGGAATAATATTAAAATCATTGGGAAAGAAGATAACAACCAGAAGAGAAAAATCAAGGAATCTGCTTGCATTCTTCTGAACGGAGACAATAGCATTGATAGATAGATTACACTATGTGGGCGGACGGATCCTTCAGCATGTAGGCCTCCTAGTTCGGGCCCGTTATGCACCCACCTCTGCTGGGAATTGGTTCAGTCATGAAGGTAGCCAATTTCGCGGGCGAAAGAGACCAGCCTTCTCAACGAAACCCTTCTCACACTCTCTGGTTCCAAAACGATGTTCCCGAGATGTGCTTCCCGTATTGCTGCAACTGCTGGGCATTCCGTGAGGATGTGAGTAGCTGACTCCTCGTCCTCCAGGCACCACATACATTCAGCATCATCAGTGATACCCACAATGCTGAGGTGCCTGTTTAGATGGCAGTGACCCGTGAGGAGCCCTACCACTATCCTTATTTCTTTTCTGCTCAATGTGAGCAACGTTTTGGTTCTTCTGATAGAAGGGCCTTCGATATGGAGTTTTGATTGTCTCATGCCTGGAGTCTCTCTCCATACCTCCTGGAATTTTGTTTCCAAGCGTTTCATCATGGTTGAGACGCTCCAGGATCTGAAAACTCCTAAGATTGGTTCTGGTTCAATGGCCGAGCTATTTGCTCCTTGTCTAGCCAGGGAGTCGGCCCTTTCATTACCGGGAATTCCCTTGTGTCCTGGGACCCAAAGGAGTTTCACCTTATTGGCTGCGGATAGCCTTTGAAGCTCATCAATACACTCCGACACCAACAGCGAACTGACCCTGTATGATGTGAGGGCCTTGATCGCCGCCTGGCTGTCGGAGCATATCGTGATCAGCTGGCCATGGTAGCCTCTGTTGATATTTTCTCTAACACAGGCGAGAATGGCAAAAACCTCCGCCTGAAACACTGTAGCAAAGTTCCCCAGGGCGTAACTGAGTTCCGCTTTCGGAGATTGCCCATATACCCCAGCTCCTGCCGATCCCTCCATCCTGGAGCCATCTGTGTACCAAATGATTCCAGTGGTAGCATTGCTTCCTGTTTAGTGGATATAGACAGAACATGGTATTCACTACTAAAATCTGAACATGAAAATGGTAAATTCAAGATTAATTAATGAAAACATCCTGTAACTCCTTTGATTGCCAACGTCACCAATTGTCATTGAAAACTGAAAAGCTTCAAGACATATTATACTACTTCGCAATTGAAAAAATCTCTTCATGTTGAAAACGGGAGCAGAATCGGTCCCGAAACGTCCAAAGATAAGTGAAAATTTGATATTTTTTCTATATACCTTTATTTCTCTTCTCCAAAAATTTTTCAATACAAATTGTCACTGACAAGCTAGTGAATTTTTCTTTTAGGCTCTCTGATAGCAAAATTCTTCAAACGCAGTGACATTTTGGGGCAAGTCATCTGATTTGTCCTTACTACACGTATATTGAAATAATATTCATATTTTTATTTTATAGAAACGAGGAGAGAAAATCCCAAAAAATTTGGAATGATGTATTATATAGGTGTTTGAAACCTCCTATATTACACCTGGTGACAACGAAATCATTGGACCGAACTTCATCCAGTTGTTTTCAATATCAGTAGTCAATATTTGGAAGGAGTCTATGGTAACTAGAGTGGTAGGATTCAAAGATGAAGAAACCCAAAGTCATATCCACTACTTTCATATGGATGTTCAGAGATCAATCACACGGCATATACAAGTATAAGCCCGTCATTAGCTGATTTTCTGATTCATAATTCTATAGAAACCAAAAATAACTCAGAATATGGATACACTGATCACTTACTCACATGGAGATGAAGTGATGTCGTTATCTTGTTTCTTGTGTGTCATAATATATATTACTCCGATTGTATTTTCATTTATGTTCCATGATCTGCTCGACACGACATCATCTTATCTGTCATGTCATTTTTCATTACCTCAAATTTCCGGTATTATCATGCACATGCGATTTATATCATTACTAGGTTAACTCCGACACCACATCAAACTTTCTAGTTTGATACTTTCAAGTTGAATTGACACCCTTGGGAAACTCAACCCTCATTCGATGTTTTCATCAAAAATAGAGAGGTGAGGAGTGTTCTTCGATCACTTTCATTATTACATCAGCCCCATGAACTCATCTTATGAGTAGCAATGTCAATTGGTGACACTCATTAGAACATTGATATGCAGTAGGAACAATGTTGGTGCCAAAATTGACACTTGAGGAACTCTTAAATTGACAGTTGTTATGATATAAGGCAAAACTGTATATGGCGTCACATTTTTTCACTATCCCTACCCTAGTAACACACGTTATCCAGAGGACATCCCTTTCATATCCATGTGAAGTCCAAGACATCCATGCACGCCAAATGGAACTATTTTTCAATATACATCGTTTAATTTTCACCTGATGTTCAAGTATGTACTCCATCTCCAAGCCTATTCATGAACATTGACGCTCATCGAATATCCACTGAGATGTCCATATCGGATACTTGGCATTACATATTGCACATCCATGAGTTTATTGTCGGGGTGTCCATTGCGGAGACAGATTTTGAGAGAAGTAAAATGAGAAGAAGAAAATCTGAATTCATCTGTCAGGAGTCGAAATGTGAAAAAGGTTATGTTCCTTCAATTCATCAGTTTTAGTGATCCTTGATCATATTCAGTATTTCATAGTGAAATTAGGCCTCCGTTCACCAGCTTTATACGACCTTCACCCTGATTACAGGTGAGTTCCTTTTATTTTTGTGTCTAACCTGGTATCACTAATTGCGAATTGCTATGATATCTTATCATATTTCTTGGATAGGTAAGTGAATCACCCTTTACTAGAATTAACAGATGATTATCCGCTGTTGACAAACTCTTCAATGATACGACAACAGATGATGAGTGGACAGGTATCATTGACAATTTCACAGTTCAAGGAATTTCAATCTTGGGACCAGTTATCTTGCCTCATTGACTTGAACTGACGATAATTATGGATCCACCACATAATATCACTGTGAATGTATACTATTGCTTGAATCAACAGTTTTCAAATAGATGGAGCGGCAGAGAGCAGTACATTTACAAAAATGTAATGCAGAAATGATGATAAATATTCATTTCAGTTTTTGCAGCATTGTACCACTTCTTTTCCAATTTGCTATCATTGTAAGTAGGTATTAACTATTTTTTGATAATATCATATACATTAAATTGGTTTCATCTATGAACTATGTGTGAAATAATGATAAAATGCAACTACCTGTTGAATACGTATAGGTAGGTATATATGTATATGTCCAATATATGGACACCATATATGAATGTCCATGACTTGGAATGAATGTCCATAATGGAAAACGCATGTATATCCTGAAATGTGGAGAGCTGATATCCTATGGACATCCATAGGATGTCCTGTCTTCACAAAGTGGTTATCCAATCCAGGACGTCCTGTTGAGGATGTCCATTGATTATTCAATGGATGGAGGTGCGTTATTAGGGTAAGTACACACAGATATGGTTCGTGACTATTGATAAAAAAGGTTTCGATATCTTACTTTGCTGTAAATCAAGTAATGTATCAGTAGCAACGTCAATTCTCAAATTTTCTTTTGCATCATTTCCATCCAACTTGGTTAGAGTCGCCAAATATCTAGATATTGCTGTACTTTGTGGTATCATTTTTCCATCGATTTCCAACACTGGAAGTTGTCCTAAGGGTAGCGCTACAAAACGAAAATTGATAATAAATAAATAAATAAATCAATATGTGTTCTATAGCATGCAAAGATAGATCAAAAGTCGAGTGTAATTTGTCATAATATTCGAAGAAGTTATGGAATCATTTCAGTTCCATATTAAATCATATAATTCTCTCTGGATTTATGACAAATTGATATATTTATCATAGAGGGCGTGGAGTAAGAAATTCTGTTAACCTAATCATGAATCTGCGATTAGAGGTATATAACAACTTTTTATCGTTAAAGTTCAAGTATGGAAGTATTGAGAAGGATTATAAACATGAAAAAAAGGATACATTTGAAAAAATACATTGAGAGTTCGCATTCCCTATGATGTGATGAAAATATTAATTATATAATCATTATATTTTCGGAAATATCCAAACGGTAACATCTGATAGAACATTATAGCTCGAAAACATCAGATCAAAGATATTTATTGATCGAAAATTAGTTCATGAAGAACACATTTCGGGACAAAATAAGGATGGCCGTATTAACGACATGCAAAAAAGCGACAGGAAAAACAGTAACAAACGAATGGTCTCTCTCTATTCGAAAACATCCTTCAACTGCTGAATTAAACATTTCAACCACGAAATATCATCTGATGAACGTGAAAAGCCAACGTTCTCAACGTAGAACAGGGAACCTTCTCAAATAACTCTTTTTGTTTTAAAAAGGTTTCCTCATAGATTCGAAATGGTACAAGAATATAGTTGCTGGATAGGATTTGAGAGATGATCATTTGAATCCTGGAAGATGGCATTTCACAGTAAAACAAGTATTATTGAAGTTCCATCCCTTCTTCATTCACCATCTTTGTCATACCCGTTTTCCACAATATGTCATCTCACTTGTTTGTTCAAATACCTGATGTGAGGTCAAATTAGCACCGTTGATTGATTTATTACGCTTAGGCACGCAGCAGCTCGAGAACCCTTCTTACAGGGTGATATTTTGTTTCCTCCAGAAAGTGAAGTGGTTGAAAGTTCTGCTTAAAATTTTACGGACATATTTGTTGATATACTCCCCAAGTATAGGATTTGTTGAGACAGTACAGGAAGTTGAACTGTACCAGGGCGTTATAGTGTTTTTACGATAAATCAGTAATGTTTCGAAATTTCTTCCAATTCGAATTAAATTTTGTATTTTCAAACTGCCTCACTATTAACTGCTATAGTGGCGAAAGCTTGGATTAGCACAGTCATATTGATGATAGATTATATTGCGTATACAAAATGTTCAAGATACGGATCCTCATCTTCGTACGATTTCATTTGCTGCTTTGAAATTCACAGGAATTCTAGCCAACAATTCATCAATAGAAATGAAGGTTTCTGGTTTTCGTTTCGTGATTTGTGAAGCCTTATTTACTGACGCCACCTTGTGGAATTTTTGGCAACTATATGTTAATTAATAATCCAAGGTAGTGAGAAGAACAAATACTCCAAATTGGGAGCATTTTTATCATAGGCAAATTGAGATATTGTGTAATTCATACAAGTTATACATACAGTTGAGATACCCGTGTCGCGAAAATGCTTTCTGAAGAAAATGCTAGGCTTGAGATGTAGCATCTTCCTCAGTATGCACTTTTGCCAAGTTAGTACATATGGGTGTCTGTAGCATTTTCCCAGCTAATCAGCCCATATGAGATGATCTATCGAGGTAATATAATGGATAATCCAATGCAATGAATGATGACATCAAAAGTGACTTTTTAATGACACTTAACAGGCAGAAAAACAGTTCTTTTCCTGCCTAGACAGGAAAAGTTTGTTGCTATGCAACGTTCCAAGAAATAATTCGAATCAAATTGAAAATCAGAATTGACACTGACGTTGGGTGAACACAAAATTATATGTTGCGCACGGCAGAAAGGCAGATTTAATGCATTTGCTGGCTTCCTATAGCCTCGGATACGCCTAGGCTATGAAATGCCAGCCACGGCACTGAATCTTGTGCTTCTCTGCCTTGAGAAACAAATAACTATTTTCTTCAAGTGACATGAAACATTGCTTTTCTCTGACCCCTAACAGGCAGAAAAGTTGTACTCTATCTGCCAAGGCAAAAAAAGTTTGATGATATGAAACGTTTCAAGTAATTTGAATGAAATTGGTGATCAAAAACACTGACATTGGGTGAACACAAAATAATGGAGTTTCAAATGAAAAAAGTCAACAAAATTGGTTTCATAACATTTGGAGAAATAACTATGTTTCACACAACATCAAATGTATATCGACTGCAGTTGCGTAGAGTGGCTAGCCAAAGTTATAAAACCAATTTTGTGGGATATTCTATTGAAAACTCTATCATCTCATGGTAACCCAATGTCAGTGTCAATTCCGATTACCAATGTCTTTCAAATTACTTGGAACGTCGCATAACAACAAACTTTTTCGACCTGGACAAAAAAATCACACTTTTTCTGCTTGTTAAGTGTCAGAGAAGAAAAATGTTCATGCCGCTTGGAAAAAAAATACCACTACCCGTTGATAATTTGATCGAATTGATGAATCAATAATTAGTATAATAGTATATCCTTTCCTATTACAGAATATTATGCTTGAAATGGTAAGATGTGGCGATAATCTCATCTATTTATGAGTGGAAGTATGGTCATAATACGTACTTGGTTTCATCTTGACGAAATCTTCGTGACCAACACGAATATCTTCAAATTTGATTCCTCCATAGCTTAGAATCATTCTGATCGGTTCAGCTCTACCAGTGAAATCGAAGTAATGTAATTTGAATTCCGGCATGTTTCTTTAGGATTCTGAAACGAAAAAATTGATGAGATAACTCACTTCTGTGTGTTATGCCCCAAATATGCCCAACCTGACCCACGGGGGCAAGAAATTAGAATACCGGTCCACACATGACATTATACTATGGAACTCACCCAGCAGAGCCTACTGGTGCCCGCGAGAGTCTCGTTTTCGAGAGTCTTGCATAGTCTCGTTTCGTTTTCGAGACAAGACTCGAGACGATACTTGGACAAGACAAGACGAGACTCGGACAAGACGAGACGAGACTTTTGTTGGTCTCGTCTCGAGTCTCGTGCAAGACTTCTCGTGTCTCGTGCGAGAGTCTCGCTTTTAAATATTTCTGCGTTCCGACTGCAGACTTGAGAATTTCATTCATAATACAACATATTTAGAAAGAATTCAGACTATTTAGCATAGATAGACAAAACATTTCATTCATAAATGCTTCAAAAACAAAATCCATGATTGTTGTAAAATGACGTAATGCGTGAAACGAAAACGGACTATTCGCTTACGGCGGCGAAATATGAAGGCAATTCTACAATAACGACAAATCGCGATTTGAATGACTGGGTGAAGAACAAATACATTTGCGATCGTCAAAGCTGATCTGACTGATGAAGGTTTCTTTCTTAGATACCCATTTCTTGAATAAGTAAAATAATGTTGGATCAAAGTTTTTGTTTTGTTTATTCGTTTAGAATATACGTGTTACTATTTATTCTATTTTATAACTTTCTAATATATAATGCTATGTTTTTTTTCTTGTTTAGATGTATGATGTAAGTATGTACCTATCAGGTACTAACTTTTCAATAAATAATGTTATTTTTGTTGTATTTTCTCTTCCTACTTCAACATTATACCTAAAAAGTAGGTAAAGGTGAATATCTCGTACAAGACTGGAACAAGATTATGCATAACGAAATTGCGATACGCGAGACAAGACGAGACTTGAGGCGGCTGCGAGACGAGACTCGAGACAAGACTTCATATTTCATCGGCGAGACGAGACGAGACTTTATGAAAGTCTCTCCTCGTTGGTCTCGTGTTAATAACTAGCAGAGCCAAAGTTAGCGCTTGTTGTAATCTTTTTATATTCGAACTCTCTGATAAGTCATGCGAGTAATATGAAAAGTGATCAATGATTATCTACCTGACCTGTGCCGTAATAAACAACATATCATTATAATCGGATAAAAGAATTGAATATCAATAACGGCTCTTGTCATATCCAAATGATAATTTTTATACAGCTACCAATCTGAGATTTTATCAAAATATGGTGTGTTATGAACTTGAAGAGGGTTTTCAAGTGAATGTCATCGAAAACATTCTTGCCAAGTATATTATCATTATTCAATTTTCGTGTTGAAGTAATATTGTGTATTTGGCAGTTACTTGGACTATGAGCACTATGACACAAAAGGAAAAAAATTGTAATAGGTTATCAAATCCAAATAATGGGACTTTTGTTACCATCAACGAAAACGTGCTCAGATCGTATACCTGCAAATTGTTTCAAATAATTTTCACAATTTTTCTGAACATCTGGAAAAATTGTTTATGATGGTGAAAATCAAGAAATATTCCAAAATCGAACTGCACAATTCAGAAATATCGATGTGCTTGTGAGCGTCTTCCAAAGTTTACAATCGATAACATCATCTATGTTTGTTGATAAATAATGTTTGCGACCAAGAACATATATTATAGCTGTTCTATTTTCGCAAGAAGTCTAGGCACTGATGCATCAATAAATGTCTGCTCGGTTACGTTTATAATATCCACTGTGAGTCCCACGTTTTGAGAGATATTCAATGTAGATTCATGTTTTTCTGAATCCCTATACAGAATACAACTACTAAATATGCGTGCAACCATCCTTATTTGGATACTATATGGGAAATGTGTCTATGATGGCTCTCTCCTTCTTAATGCAGAAGGGATGATATGTTCCTTCCTCCCTGAGAAAAGTACTGTGGAGGCATTTAATGATGAGGCTGATAGTGATTCGCTATTCTAATGTTGTTTTTTTTTTCAGGATCGGCCGTGAGCGACCTCTCTTCTGCAAAAAGTACTTTGGTCGACTAAATTCTCTGTTGAAAATGAATATCCTTCAGATCGTGATTGGGTTTTCTCAATCCGGAATTTCGTTCCACGACTTGATCACGATCAATTCATCATTCACTGTGAATGAAATCTATCTTTATTCTGAAATCTTAAATTTTACAGTATCTGTGTGGCGTAGTTCTCTGTGCGTTCTGATTCCAAGCCGGCCACCCAGATTCGATTCCTGCATTAGTCGGTTTTTCATTTTGTTTTGTCGAGTGATTTTCGAAAGAAGAAAACTCTTCAGTGAGATGGTTCTTTCAGGCCAAGTGAGGTTAGAATTTAGAAAAAAAAATAGTCTTCATTTTTATACAGAAGGGATAATATATTTCTCACTTCCAGAAAAAAGTACTGTTGAGGCAGTTACTGATGGAGGTGATAGTGATTCACTATTTGAATTGATTTTTTTTGTTTAAAATTGTTCTTTCCGTCATTCGGTTGTCTCCTTTCGAGCAACCCTCAGAAGTCTTCGAGAGTCTTGTGCGAGCAAAGAATGACGGGGGCGTAACCTTCTAACGTGTGATCCCAAACACTTTCTTGGGTCATCAGAAAAATGTCTGCAGTCGCTAGGAATCGAACCAACGACCGGCAAGCGAATGCGGATCAGAATATTGACACTATGTCCGCACAGCTACCTGGCCCCACTGTTGTCATGCTGTAAATTGTGTAGACTTGATTTCACGTCAATTATTGCCCAAATCGCTCTGATTGATCTATAGGCACCGCTTATGCATATATTTGGGGAAAACGGATCCGTGCGCTGAGTGTGGCAGTTCAGCGGTCATTCCGCAATATTTGGAAATAGAGGTGGTATAGGCCATCATAGAGGCAGCGAGCCATAATACGCACATTTCTACTAGATCTATTCTGTATGTTCTTGAATGAACGTTTCATGAGATGAACAAATATAAAACAAACAAACTAACCGTTGATTGAAAGTTTTGTTGATGTTCAAAAGAAACAATATCCTCATGACATATCGAAGACATATCTTGGTATATACATATAATATATCAACTACCAGATGAAAAATCTAAAGAAATGTGAGAGAAGGTTCATTACCGACATGACATTGCATTACTGACATGGAATATAATAAATAAATAATAGCAATTTACCATTATTTCTCATTTTCACTTCTAAAGTAGGATATTTCAATCATTGTTTGACTTTTTCATACCGTCATATGATCAAAAATATTACAACCGTTTAATCCGTAACATGTTATTTGTAGGTGACGGACAATGGAATGTCATTTCGTTAACGACAAGACTGTTGCCAACAAGGCATTCCTTATGAATCAGTTCATCTATGTAATTTCGAGCTTACAAAATATATTGAATTGTGGTTCAATGAATCGTCAACTGTGAATTTTTATTATTGATATATGATACTGTAAAGCACGATAGTGAATTGTTAACTTATCTGAATATGTAACCGATTAGCCTTTATACAAATACAATATTGTGTTCTTCGAGAAATAATTCCATGCACGTTATCTTAACTATAAGTACATATTGATGAAGTTATATTGCCAGTGATAAGGCTTCCTTGACACCGCTTGCGGTTGTTATATACTCGTTTGGCAATAATAATTTTCTGAAAGAGGAACCGTGTGATGAGTAAGCGTTGTTGCCCAATCTGCTCGAGTATATGATACGTGTGAAAAATATAATTCCTGCGGTCAGGCCGAACAATGGACTCGCTCGGAGGAGGAGCTAACTCGATAGGAAGCATAATGACAGAGTCGCCATTGTTTTCGATAAACTGTCCATATACAGAAATTCATTTTTGCCAGGCGTGTATACACTGATAGTTCGAGTTGCCGACAAGATACGTTTATTGCCGATAGGAGTGTTTTCCTTCGTAAGTTTACTTTTTGGCGATATTGATATGTTGAGTAACTATGATTCATAAATTGGCCTTATTTTCAATCAAATGGTATATAACATGTTTATCAAATATATTCATTGCACACTCGGAACCTTCCATTCAAGATGCTAATGCGATAAATGGTTCGAATTCCTGAAAAACATGTAGAAATAAAACCAAAAAGACATGAATCATCATAGTTGCAGATTATTTGTAATGTCATCCTCAGATGTTCACTATCTTTCATGGCGTTGGGACATGGATTGGGACACAGAAATGCTCATCCTGGGATTGCTAGAAACATACCGTTTTTCTACATCAAATCAACGGACTGATAATGGCATCACTGTAGTCACAGTGATCACATCTGAATCATAAGGAAGCGATATGTCTCCTTTAAATTCTCATTTCTGATTTTTCATAAGTTCGTCTTTATTCTATTCACTTTTGTCTATTCACTACACTGAAAAAAAAATTGGGTGAAATTTCACTCAAGGTCCACGCAATAATGAGTCAATTTCGGTCCACGCCCGATTGAGTTGAAATTGCACCCTACTCGACTGTGTAAAATGGTGATTCATGAACCGATTCAATCAAATTTTTTATAAACATTCTCATTGATATGAGAAATTGATGAAATATCTAGTTTGAGTCGAGAATTCACTCAAAAATGTCAATCAGTAAATTCACTCACAACCACATATGCATTCACTCAGAGGCATTTTCTACAGTGTAGGGTTAGTTGAATTGAATATTCAACCAATGAATCAATAAATCTCAAATGGAATATTATAAAAAAGGTTGTTGCTGACTCAAAGTAACGGTCAAAACAAAGTTTATTAGAGTTTGAAGATTGTTATAGATTTTGAGAACGAAATAAATAATAACCACTGATTATCAGCACCAATATTCTGATATTTTAAATAGGTATATGTTCCGAGCATGTTTCTTTTTGTTGAATTCATATAATCTTATCGTTATCATATTACGCATACACTACGACGACATGC